TATAAAAACACCAAAAAATAATAATTTAAAGCTAAAAAAATTTTAAAAATTTGAAAAGTGTGGTTGGATCGCAATGCTTGATGAGGCTTTAAATGAAACTATTTGTGACTCTTCCATTCTTTTCCAAAAACTTACTTAATGAGATTCAAATTCACACAATACTCTTTTCATGTACGATGTAGTTTGTTAGTGAAATGGTAATAATTGATCAAATCACAGTATGGCTGAACAAATCAACCCAAGAAAAGAAATGATTGTTAAAGTCAATATCAATAAGGTTGATTACCTCGTTGAAGAAGTTTTGGAAATGAACATGTTTGTTTTTTTCAAAGTCAACCTGATTAGACAATCTTGAGAAGTGTTAGGTTGATGTTGGTGTTACAAGACATATATACATTGAGAAAATGATGTTTTCTACTCATAAAAAATGGATGGAGAAAACCTATAAATAGAGAACTCATTAACCTCCAAGGTATTGGGTATTAGAAAGATCATATCAAAGATAATCTCTAGAAAACTTATCACCATCAACAATATATTGCATGTTGTTAACATTAGAAAGAAATTAGTGTTTGACTTATTATTAAGCATAAATGATTTTAAGATAGTATTTAAAAGTGATAAATTCATACTCTTTAAGAGGTATGTTTGTGGGAAATTGATATCTGTGTGATGGTCTTTTAAAAAATAAATGTAATGACCATTGTAACCGATAATTAAAGTAAAAATATAAATGCCTCTTCTTCTTATTTACTTGAGTCTTATGATATGTGGTATAGTAGGTTGGGTTAGGTTAATTATAATTATATGTAAAGGTTAATAAACCATGAATTAATACCATGTGTGATTTTAAAGAAAAATCATTAGTGTGAAATTTACGAGGAATCAAAATTCACAAAATCTTATTTTCAAATATTGGTGATTAAAATTTTATGCAAACTAAAAGTGGAATAAATTATTATAATACTTTTATAGATGATTGCATCAGATAATGTGATACCTATTTGCTTAGGAATAAGAATGAAACTCTTGAAATGTTTAAAAATTACAAGAATGAAATTGAAAATGAACCTAACAAAATTATAAAAGTAATAAAAAGTGATACTAAAGGAAAATATGAAGCACCATTTGATGAATTATATTCTTAAAATGATATTATTTAAAAACTACTACTTGTTATTCACCATAATAGAATGTCATTATGAAACATAAGAACCAAACATAAAAAGAAATTATGAATTCCATGTTGATAAGTTCAAGAGCACCTAAGAACTTGTGAACTTGTATGAGTGGACATTTCTAATTGCTAGCTATATACTTAACAAATAAGCCCTTAAAAAGTTAGAAAATATATTATATAAATTGTGTAAGGATAAAAGAACTTCCAACAAATACCTCAAAATATAATATTGTCTTGCAAAGGTAGCAACACATGATCCTAAAAAGGTTAAGATAAGATCTAAGTTTGTGAATTATGTATTTATTGAAAATGCATACAATAATAATGCATATTGATTTCTTGTATATAAGTCAAGTATTTAAAATATTCAACCTAATATTGTTATAAAATCAAAGAATGCTATATTATCTGAGGATGTATTTCCATGGAAAAAAACAAGAGAAACTTGTTCACTTAAGAGAATAATTTAGGCTAACTCAAGTAATCATTATCAATTAAAAGATGATGAAGTTGAGTTTAAAAAGAGTAAAAGGATAAAAATAACCAAAATATTTGATCCTAATTTTTTAATATACTTGTTAGAAAAGGAATTGGAATTGAGTTTGATGATTTATTTTGTCTTTATGCTTATAAGGTTATTAAAGTGTCAAAATAATATCTTAACATTGGCTTAATACTCATTTTTATATATAAAAAATGGTTTTATTGCTTTCAAAAAAAAAAACTCTTGATGACCAATTTTACCACAGGACAAGAATACAAGGTTTTTTTTTCTTTTAATCATTATTTGAAATGCACCTTTTTTTTGTAATATTTCTACCTATAGAATTATTCTAAATTGATTTTTGATCTTTTTAGTTTGACAATTTAACATTTTAGCTATTGAGTTTGAGAGAGAAGAAAAACTTACTAAAAATTAATAAAGAAGAAAGGATGATTGGTTGGCCATATTTCATTGATAAGAAAGCCAAATTTGGTGTCAATATATTCCTTTTGACTACTAGAGTGTAATTAAGGTGTTTTTGAGCTTCCATATTGTTGGGAAAAAATAGATCAGACTTGGAAAATCTTTTTTTTTTTATGTTTTTAATTTTTTTTTAGTTGATAAATTAGTTTATTGAGATTCTAAGGATGTTGGATAGATGTTTATATGTGAAAATAGGTTAAAACAAGTTTTTAAATTCAAAAAATATAGCTCAATTTTTTAACCACTTTTATAATAACTGGGATTTGGGTAATTAAATGATAATTTATCTAGTTTATTTTAAAAATAATTACAAGTTGGATGATATATCATCCACACTTGAAAAAAAAAAAGTTTCAAGCATGCAAGCTTAGCATGCTAGGCCTTCTTTCATAGGGCTAGGCATACATGCCTAATGCCTATAGCATATGCACTATTTTTTTTATCTTTTTATTTTGCAAGTTTTTTTTAATAGAAATGCAATATAAAAGATATAGTTAACATAATAGTTAACATAATATTTGAATTATTATTCAATTTTGTCAGGATTCTTAAATAATATCATGTTTTTTTAGAATATTAACAATTTATTTTTCAATTATTATATGACTAGCATGGCAAAGGAAATTAAAACGGCTAAAGAATATTCAATGAAAATAATGTTTTATGTTCTTTAAATCTTTTAATTGATTTTTTTTCATGATTTTATTATATTTCTTATTTTTTTTCTTCTTCAATCACATATAAAATATTGAAACATTGTTTTTATAATTTTTTTTATATACTTTGTTGTTGAGATCATGATAGCTATTTATTTAAAAAAGTGCTTGTAAATAAAAAAAAAACATTCATTGAAATAATAAAGAGATGTATCATTAACAAAATATGCTTCAGATTGAAGGAATATATTTAAAGTTGATCATTTAATTGAATTAAAAATAAATTATATAAAAATTATTATTTAAAATGATTAGAGCATGATTTGAGTCACGAGTTGGGAGCCTAATCATTAAATCAATATTTTTTTTTTAATAAATATTAAACCAAGTTTTAACTAGATCAATCAAGTTGTGAGTTCACCTACTAAATTTATTAAGCCAAATTTATTTAATTCATATTCAATTTATATTAAAATTCAACCTAACTCAAAAGCTAAGTTGATGATCACCGTATTGACCTATCATGATTATATTAAGCCAAATTTATTTAATTCATATTTAATTTATATTAAAATCCAACCTAACTCAAAAGCTAAGTTGATGATCACCGTGTTGACCTATCATGATTAATTTAATTAAAAGTGTATTTGAGATTATAGTGGTGATAATGGTTCAAATGTTTTTTAATTAAAAATATAATAAAATAATTTTTTTAAATATTATTTTTAATATTAACATATTAAAATAGTCTAAAAATATAAAATAAATTTTTATTTAAAAAAAAAATAAAAACTAAAAAAAATATGATTTACACCGTAATTTTCAAATATACTCTAAATCACATCATTAAAAATTACTTCACCACAGCCTGTGAGCAGCTAGCTAGTCTAGTGACTAATTTTTGTAGAAATGATTCGTGCGCATTGATTTCAATTGCCTAAACATGTATTTATCGAAGATACTGCCTGGATCAAAAACAGTAGCGGCTGCGGGTTTGGAACGTATTTGGAAGTGTGATTATAATTTTTTTAAAATATTTTTTATTTTAAAATATATTAAAATAATTATTTTTTAGTTTTTAAAAATTATTTTTGATAACATTACATCAAAATAATTTAAAAATATTAAAAATATATTAATTTAAAATAAAAATTTTTAATTTTTTTAAAAAATACTTTTAAAATACAATGTTATTTGCCCGAGATATTGTTGAAAGTGTTTTCATTCCTAGAAACACGCGCGGTGTTCCCAAACAAGTTCTATACGTTGTGATTTTTGCCTACAAATTGCTGCTCTGTGCCAGCCTACAAAAGTCCAATTTGCTGGTCGTTAGACCCAACATATATGCTTGGATCAGCGTGGCGGAGGCTGCGTAAAAGGGTAGTGGTAGGTGGCTTTGCTCGATCCCTTCTTGTTAATTTAGGACCTTGCACCCCCTCCTCTCTCACAGTTCAAAGAAAAAGAAAAAGGAATTAACATTTGATTTTAATCCCCTTTTTTCCTGGGGGTTGGGAAAAACGGAAAACGTAGGAGACTTCAAACTCTCCGATAACAGCATCCACATGTAATTCCAAGAATCCCACTTTTACTCACGTAGGATCAAAATTTTAAGGTATAATTGCCATAAACCAAGGACAAAGATATCACAACATGAACCCGAACTCTTGTTGCTAAGCTGAACCAGTCGAGACATGCATGGTAGATACGGGAAAATAGTCTTAAATTACACCATAAACACTGGGACCACTAGCACATGTGCCAAAAACTAATCACTGATACAGCGGCACATCTGGCTAGATATAAGATTTGCAGTGCCAGGAGTTTATAGCATAAAAAAGTCCCCTTCCACGAGGTCAGCATCAAGTGGATTACACACTCCATGGATGAAAGTGGGCTTTGCAAGTTTTATTCGAAGCAGGTAAGCCTTGGAGATGGAGCAAACAGCGAATAGTCAAAGCAGAAAATAGAGACAGGTAGTTGGCAGTACCATCAGCTCTATAGTATCGAGCCGATTCTCTTCACTACACAAAACCCTCTTAAAATAAAACATAATCCATAAAATAAACAGCAAACCTAAAGAACCAATCAAATCACCATGCGACAATTCCATAATGCTAAATGTTGTCAGAAACTATATACATACATACATACATACATATATATATATATATATATATATATAAACTGTGTATACTCCGAAAATAAATAAATGAGTAATAAAAAGTTGGTTGGGATTCCCCGCATTTTCCTTCCTGCAACAACTTCTTCTTGTGCCCAAATTGCCACACAGCGTACTTGCAGAAGAAACAAATTAACCCCCCTCCCTCTCTCATTACTTTATAATAAGGGAACTGTTCATTGTGTTCAACTACCTTGTTAGCTAGCTATTCAAAAACTAGATAGAAGCTTGTGTTTTTAGCCGAGTAAAAGTTGTAGAATAAATGGACAAGGCGATTATACTAGATCTCTAGTAATATAAGCTGAAAGAATCACTGTTCATGTGTTGAACTGTGTAGAGGATTTCTTGTTTCCAAGGTCAAGTTCTCTCATTATGTATCACGTTTTCCAGTTTCTTTAAAAGTTAGATAGTTTTCTCACAAAATTCTTGGTTCTGCAAATGCAGGGTTATAGATTGAATAATGTTATGAACTGAGATAGTAGTAAATGAGATCTTGTGGAAGCATAGAAACTCCTTACTAGCTCTTACTTATTGCCTTTCTGGTTAGTTTCCACTGCCTCTCTCTTGTTTGCCTTTTAGCTAAAGCCAGTCTATGGTTTGTGTTCATGTTTTTTTTTTTAAGATTTCTGGGGTTTGAATCTTTACTGCATACCCTTTAAATTCTAACTTCTGGCTACGCATATTTTTTCTTATATATTTATTTAGTGTTAGAAACTACACTGCTTTGAGTGGTACTTTCATTAGAATACTCGAATATTATTGTAATTTGTTTGGGCAGTGCTTGTAGAAAAGTTCTTATCTTTTTGGGTCCTTTATCCTTCTCTGTTGAACAGGGGGTTTTTCTTTCTTTTCTTTTTCTCAAGAAAAAAAAGAACAAAAACTGGTTGAAAATTTGACAAATTTGAGAACCTTGAGACTGTGAGTGCACCCATGTCCACATGAATGTAATATGTAACGTTGAGGGTTTCGAGGAAAAGATCCCTAGTTCTGTAATGCTTCATACCAACTGCTTTTCAGTTAATTATGATGATCCATGGTCATTAGTGGAATATCAAGAGTAACTAAATGATAGCCTAATTGTAGCGAGTAAAATTGCAAATCGAAGCTTATTTTCTTGACATAACAATAATTCGGCCGTCGCCGCCAAGCTTTTATCTGAGGTTTACTTTCTGTTGATGGAAAGCATTGCTCTAGCAATGCACAAGAAGTTCCAAGGAGAATGAAAAGAATTTACTTATATTTTTTTATGCACCCAGGGACCAAAGTTTTATTCAACGACATTTTGAAGTCCTGATCTTCAGAGAGATTTCTTAAAGATTCTTTTATATTTAATAATTGTGTTGGATATTGCTCATCCAATCCACTCAATTTTTTTTGTTGTGAGTGTTGGATTTTTGCGAATGTTATACTTGCTGAGGTCCTCTGCAAATTGTTTTTTTTCCCTTTTTTATTAGGTCACCTTTTATTCATGTTTTGATTGGAAAGGAATCGTTTACTATGGAGTTGTTTGGGTAATTATCCCTATGTTGTTCCACTCGCGTGATCAAGAGCTGCAGAGAGATTTTCTAGGACTATTAATTTATGGCACTGCTCTAGTCTTCCTCCTAGAAAATGTAGTCTTCATTTTATTCTTGCCATTAATATTATCCCAGTATAATGCAGGTCTTAGAGGTTGTCCCAGCCAACAGAAGCGATTTCATACTGTCTACAAATCAACTTTCCATCTCTGCAGCTTTTGATACATTCTGTTGAATGTGGATTGAGGTTCAAAAGATAGGACTTCCAAGCTCCCTTGATCTTGAAATGGCCGTTTCTTACACGTTCACCAGTAAAATGTAATTAACATTCCAGATATTTATTGAAAATGGAGATCAAGGAATCAGAGAGGGTGGTTATAGCTAAACCAGTAGCTTCCAGGCCTAGTTGCTCCAATTTTAGATCTTTCTCAGAGTTGCTTGCGGGTGCCATCAATACTTCACCCTCACCCTCTACTGATTGTTCTGAAACGGCAGTTGCTGCCATTAGACCAAAAACTGTGAGGTTTAGGCCAACGATGAATCGTGCTCCAGGTGCATTGGTTTCTTCCCAGGTGATCACATAGCTCTTCTGAATGCTCTCTCCACTATGAATTCTTGCTTTCTGATCCTTATGTTCCTGGACACTTTCAGGCTGAACTCTCTGGAACAACACTTAGCAATTCATCTAATAGAGTTGCAAGTACTGATAGCAAAACCACTGTCATATATAAACCGCAGGCAAAGTTTGTGTCGAAGGCAACCGTTTCTCTACTAGCGAGTATGGTGAGTGGCGAAATTCTACCGCCAGTTGTAACTTCTTCTGCCATGGTAATCTAGCAACTGGTGGTTGTATTTTTTTTCTTCAGATGCTGATGCAAGAATTTCTTTTGACCAGGGGAACTTCAATACCAATTCACAGCAAATGCTACATTCAGTTGAGGCTCGCCCTCAGTGTCCAAAAGAAAATAAACAAAATTTCTCATCCCAGCTCACCTCAAATCTTCATCAGGATATTACATCCCATGCAGTATGGTTGACATCTCAGAATCAAGAGGATCCAAAAACTTTATCACATGCATCTAATGGGGACAGGGCTTCATATGATGGTTACAATTGGAGGAAATATGGGCAAAAGCAAGTAAAAGGAAGTGAATATCCGAGGAGTTACTACAAGTGCACCTATCCAAATTGTCCGGTGAAAAAGAAGGTCGAAAGATCATTTGATGGGCAAATTGCAGAAATTGTCTACAAAGGGGAACACAACCATTCAAAGCCTCAGCCTCCTAAGCGCAACTCATCAGGAACACAAGGACTAGGAGCTGTATCTGATAGCAATGCTCAAGATAGGTACACCACTCCCTTATGGAGTAATCAACTCATTGAAAGAAATGAAGGCTCTGAAGGTAGAGAGGAAAATCAGATCGAAACTGGATTACAGGTGCATTCAATTTACCAGGGTAAACCTCCGCCATCTTGTGATCGTGCTGGAAATGGATCAATTATTGCTGGTGCGGGAACATCTGATAACTCATGTGGTCTCAATGGGGAATGTGATGATGGAAGCAAGGGATTGGAGGGAGACGATGATGAACCTAGAAATAAAAGAAGGTAAGAGATAGAACGCTCATGAATAGATTTGAAAATCAGCTACTATAGAGGTTCACCTCATCGTTAAAAAGAAATGAATTCATTTTCACTTTGTTGCTTTGTGCTGAATCGGATCATCGACAAGGAATAATCCAAGTTGGTTTTATGCCAACTTATATTTGCTTCTTCCTCCAGCCCTTCTCACCCTTACTTCTTTACATGAATCCAATAAGCTTTTGTGATGGCCTGATGCCTTTTTAATTTTACTATACACATCACCCTTGAAATTATCTTCTTGATTCTTATGTACTGTACATATATTAATTTTTCTTTTAGGAAAGCTGGGATACAATCCAATAAAGGTGGCATATCAGGGGAGGGCGTTCAGGAGCCCCGTGTAGTGGTGCAAAGTTCCACAGATTCTGAGATTTTGGGGGATGGTTTTCGCTGGAGAAAATATGGGCAGAAGATTGTAAGGGGGAATCCATATCCCAGGTTGAGACATTAGACTTGCTTGAGATATGCGTTGCATGCTGATTTTCTGCTTCTCTGATTCAATGTTTAATGCGGCCTTTAAAAACATTATGAAGACAAGCGTTTTTGGTTGTTTTGCAATATTTCATGAATCCAGCATGTTTGCAACATTGATTTAGCATTTAGGTACTCGTATAACTGCTACAGTTAAGTTGTTTCTGACTGATTGTTCCCCACCTAATATCTTTGAAATTTGAATTGAGGATAACGCATTATCCTAATGTTTTACAGTACATTAATGAATTCGTTGCTTTGCTTGTGAAAACTCATTTTTTTCCTTGAATTTTGCTCTCAAATATTTTAAATCCATCTTGCAGGAGTTACTATAGATGTACTAGTCTCAAATGCAATGTGCGCAAGCATGTGGAAAGAGCATCAGACGATCCAAAAGCTTTTATTACAACATATGAAGGAAAACATAACCATGAGATGCCTCTGAAGAGTACAAATATACAGCCTTTGAACCCTGATCTACAGGCACCTTCTAGTAGAGACAAGCTGTGATCTCAACCATGGATGGATACGATTTCGAACTCGATGCTTGTTCTGGCCCAGATATCAAAAAGAGTTCAGCGCAGAAGAAGCTAAATAACACGATCGAGCAATAGACAATAAAAAACAAGAACATAGTAGTTTCAGTTCTGGAGGCTTCTTCATGGTGCCGGTTTTGTGTTGGTAACGAGGATTGATATCGAAATGGGCTGTCTCGTTTTCAGCCTATCTGAAGCTTACGAGTACATCTCCCTCTCTCTCAGTTATTGCCTTGGCTAATCGTATGTGTAATATATACGCCTGTTTAGCTTCAGAATAAGTTTCGGGAGGAAGTTTATAACAATTTTCAGGCGCATAAATATTTTGATACTTCTATAAACAGCACTTGCTCATTCTGATTTCATTGCTTGTAGACCTACAAAGAATATGCTAAAGCTGAATAGGATGTGAAGATGTAGTATTGGATTATAGTACAGTTGTTCTTAAACACACGCCAACAATGAAATGTTGCTGCAAGGAATTACTTACTGAAAGAAAAGAACAGATTCTTTTCATTAGCCACTGTCTAGCTAGCTGGGGCATTAAAAATGCCAGCGTCTTTTGATATATTCATGACCAGAACTGCTCTTGTACATCACAAATCTTAGTAGCTATATTTTGCTTTCAAAATATCAATCCCATCACGTTTCCAACTGATGACCCAATACACACACACACACACACAGGTAGAAACGCCTCGCCGTCTGGGCCCTTTGTCAATTTTTTCTCGTCTCTCTATATTTTTCTTTCTTTTTTTCACTGACATCAATGATCTTGTACAGAAATCAACACTCACGCATAAAGCTAAACATGGTTAAATTTTCTTACAAGTTAAGCTACTTGCTTTGCAAGTTAAGCATCTTAAATTTTATGCAGACACAAATTATGGTAGAGCCAGAAAACTTTAATCACTAGGAGAGAATGAAAGACATCTTTTATTCAATAGCAAAGCTAATTTATATATCAAGCCAATACAATAAAAAACTGAAAAATATGCGACCCATGGTTAACACTCCAACAAAAGTGGTTTAGCGAGCAAAGAATAAATCAAAGCTAATCATACTTCTAAAGACTAGGATATTATTACCTGACTCAATTCCAATAATTCCTCCCTTAAAGAACTATTGGTTAGAAAAATATGTCTGTCATTCAAACCCACTACTTAAAAACTGCGTTGTTTTCAAGAAGCACTTTATCCATTTAATACCATACATATGCCCAGCAAACTTCTTAGCTTCTCAAATGCTTTGATCTTCTATGTTTTTGTTATAATGTCAGCAACTTAGTCTCGTGAATTGCAGTGCTTCAACTCAATTACATCATTTTTACAAAACTCACGCGGGAAGTGAAACCTGACATCTATATGTTTCCTTCTGCCATGCGTAACTAGATTATTTGCTAATTTAATCATAGACATGTTATCACATTATATGATAGTAGGTGTACCTTATTTGCAATTTAATCTTTCAAGCACTCTTCTTATCCACACTATCTAGGAAGCACAATAAGTTGTAAATATAAACTCTGTCTTAGTTGTTGAATGTCTTAGTTGTTGAAAGGGAGACCACTGGTTGTTTCTTTGAATTCTAAGCAACCGCTCCCCTACCAAGCATAAAAACATATCCAGAAGTGCTCCTACGATCATCTTGATCACTAGTATAGTCACTATCAAAGAAGGCCATTAACATTTCATCACTTGCAGCTTTTTGTAGCAAATTTTCAAGTTCACAAATCCCTTCACATAGCTCAAAACTCTTTTGATAGCCTGCAACTCTTTTGATAGCCTGCATATGTAGACTTGTTGGTCTCTCTATATACCTACTAACTAAACTCTTTTGATAGCCTACATAACCACACATATAAGGTTCAGCCTTGTCACTGATAGGTATATAAGGCTACCTAACATCTGCTTGTATTGAGTCATATCCATTTACTTTCCATCTTCATTCTTCATTAGTTTAATACTTTGTATCGTTGGATTATGAACTGAATTTGCATTCTTCAAGCCAAACCTCTCTAAAATCTCCAGAGCATATTTTTTTTTAACTTAAGTAAATTCCTTCATCATTTTGCATAACCTTTACTCCAAGGAAGGACTTCATCTTACCTAAAGTAATCATATCAAATTCTCATTTCATTGAAGCTTTAAAATCTACAAACATCTCCACGTCACTTTTAGTAAATACCAAGTCATCCATGCACAAACTCACCACCAGAATCTTTCCTTCTATTTGACCTTCTCCTTGAGTTTTGACAAATAAGGTATGCTCATTTAGACATCAAACAAACCCTTCCCTAAAAAAAATATGATTCAATCTTATTAAACTAGGCTCTTGGTGGCTGCTTTAATCCGTATAAAGTTTTTTTTAACTTCAAAACTTTGTATTCCTCTCCCTTGTTCTCATAATCAAGGGGTTGCTCTACATATACATCTTTATCTAATTCTCTATAGAGGAATGTGTTTTTTACATCTAGTTGATATACTTTTTATTTTCTCTATGCTATCATAACTATAACCATCCAGATTGTGTCCCATCTTGCTATTGGTGCAAACATTTCAGTGTAGTCAATCCTATATTGTTGTGGATACCCCTTTGCTACAAATCTAGCCTTATATTTGTCAACTTTCCCTTTCTCATTATGCTTCATCTTATATATCTATTTTACTCCAATCTTTCTTGCATTCTTTGTTAGTACAGTTAGTTCCCACTTACCATTTCTGTCTATTCTTGAAATTTCATTATCCATGGCTTTTCTCCATTTCTGACTTCTTGAGGCTTTTTTATAGGTGTATGGATCCCTGACAATGGTACAGAGTACCATGTTTTGAGTTTCTTCTTCTTCAAACAAACCTATACTTGTGATATAATTCTACATCCAGTATGGTGTTCTTTGGTTTCTGGCAACTAGTTAATTAGACGTGTTGCCTTCAACTAAGCTTATTGAAGATGAACTTGATGAAGAATTTATTACTCCAGTTGAAGAACTGTTTACTCCAATTGCCTCATTATGCTTTTGCTCTTATTCTTGCTCTTACTTTTCAACTTCACGTTATTTTCTTCAAATTCTTCTTCAGTCACATCGTTCTCATCATCTCCCCACTTTAACAACACATTGGTGCCACCTTCTATCTAGTCCTAAATTTTATTTTCTTGAAAGATCACATCACGACTAATCACTACTTTCTTTGCAATTGGATTATACATTCTGTAGCCTTTTGTTTCTTCACTTACTCCCAGTAATACACATTTTGAACTCTTTGAATCTATCTTTGTTCTTTTCACATTTAGAATATGTACGTGGCTAATGTAACCAAACACTCGAAAGTATTCCACTGAGGATTGAACACCACTCCATACTTCTTCATGTGTGAGATATTTGACTGCCAAAGTAGGGCTCATGTTTAGTACATATACACACCAGTTTACTACCTTTGGCTAGAACTTTCTAAGAATACATTTTTTGGACAACATGCTTCTAACTAGATTCATGATCATCTGATTCTTCCTCTTAGCAACTTTATTTTTCTAAGGAGTGTATGCTATAATTAATTGTCTTTTGATACCATTCATAATAAAATACTCATTGAAATTTTTAGAAGTGAATTCACCACCTCTAATAGTTCGTAAATAACCCACTAAAGAACCAGCCTTTTTCTCAACTAAACTTTTGAACCTTTGGAACATTTTAAGAGCTTCTGACTTTTTTGAAATGAAATAAACCCAACACTTTCTACTAAAATCATCAATGAAAGTGATTGGGTACCTTTTTCCATATTGGATTCTAGATTTACAAGTCCACAAATGTCCAAATGAACAAGTTGTAGTTTGCATGAGGCTTTCTAGTAGCTTTTCTTTAGGATGTTGTTCCTGTGTTGTTTTCCAGCTAAACAATCAGTACACACCTGGTAGGAGTTTTAAGTGATAACAACCCTTCAACCATCTTCTTATATACAAAGTTCTTAAGCCCTTGAAATTAAGGTGAGCAAACATATTGTGTCATAGTTGTGTTTCACCCTTTTCACTATTTTAAAAGAAAGCTACTGGTGTTTCTAGAGGCATTACTGCAAACATAACGAACTGTTAAAGATCATGGTTGAATCTATAATAAGGCATCTAGTTGGGTAGAATAGTTTGCACGTATTGTTTTGGATAAGTATTGCTAGGCCTTTCTCCTATAGTTGGCCTATACTTAACAAATTATTTTTCAATTTTAGGATGTAGTAAACACCATCAATCTTTTGCATCACTCTAGCTACATTCAGCTTCATATATCCCTTTCCTATTACTGCTATTTTTTTAATGGTTGCCTAGCTTAACTGAGTGTTTGAACACTTCATCTAATTCTGTAAACAACAGTTTGTTCCTACTTATATGATTGCTACAACCCAAGTCTAAAACCATACCTCTTCTCTGGTTGATTTATAAAGCTCCAAGTATGACATGATCAACATTTCATCATCTTTATCTAGTTCCATATAATTAGCTGCCTTTTCTAACTAGGACATTCATAAGAAAAATTCCCTAGTTTATGACATCAAAAGCACTCAATAAGGGCTTTGTTGAAAGGATGTCTTCCATGACCTTTGCCTCTGCCTCTGAATCCTCCACGACTTCTATTTCTGCTTCCAAATCGATCATTATCCCTAGTTCGAACTTATCTCTATTGGTGACCTTAAGAACTTGCTCTTCCTCTTTGTGTCCCTTCATTCTTTATTCATGCACAAACAAGTTGCTTTGGAGTTCATCAATAGTCATTTTAGCAAGATTATTTGATTCTCGATGAAGCATATGACATAATCAAACCTTGCCATCATGGATCTTAAAATCTTCTCAATGATGACAGTTTGCTTTATATGTTCACCTTGAGATTTCATTTTACTAACAAGAGTAAGAGTGTTACAAAAATAATCATCAATACTCTCTCTTGCTTTTATTCCAAGAAGCTCAAATTCTCTTCACAATGCATGTAATTGAGCTTGTTTTACCTTAGTAAACCTTTGATACTTTTGACACATGGAATCCCATATTCCTTTTGTAGAATCTCTATTCAAGATCGTCTTTATAATGGTACAATCAATGAATTGAAGGAGGTTCTTTTTTACTTTTAAATATTTCAGTCTCATGTCTTTTACAATCTTTTGTTATGCCTCTATACATTTTATTCCAGTTGCAACTATGAGAATTCCTGTCTCGATCAAACTCCAATACTTTTTGGATCTAGGAAATTTTCCATCAACATAACCTAATGGTCATAGTGACCATCAAACCTAGGAATAGATGGTTAGATGAAATTTTCTTCAGATGTCATGCCTTTAATCTCACTTCCTTCCTTCCCTCCACTCTCTCTCTTTATAAGAACACTATAGGTTTTTATATTCTCTCAATCAAGCCTTTATGATAAAGCTCTAATACCAATTGTTAGAGCCAAAAAACTTTAAGCACTCAAATGTAAAGTGTTAATACCTATTTTTGGGTTAAAAAATGAGAAAATACAAAAACAATATATATCAAAAAATATTCGAAAGAAATCCAAAAAGATAATATGAGTGAGAAAAGGATGCTGAAATGCTAAAAAAGGTCAAAATTGGTTGAATAGGTTCAAAAATGCAAAAGGTTGAAATTTAACAG